GATATTGCGAAGTTTTGCATAAAATTTTAAAAAAATATTTAAAAAATCTGCACAGATTTATATTTTATTATAGATTTGTATAGATTTTTTAAAAAATTTTCTTTATCAATTACCAGGTTCAAAGTTTTGTACAGATTTTTGAATTTAAAGATCTATATAAAACTGTATCCTCAAAAATTTTCTAATGTATGTTAAGTAATAGTATATTAAAATTGAAATATATTATTAATTTAAGAGTTTTTACATCATATTTGAATTATTATTAAAATATAAATTCATTATCTTTTAATATTTTTTATAAATTATATTTGAAAAATTTAATGTATTAATATATTAATATGAATATTAGTATTTAATTTATTATTAATAATTAATTATTTAGAATTTACTGAATTTGTTAATAGTTAGATAATTCTAAATTATTACAAAATTTTATAATTGAAATAATATAATAATCTTTTAATTATTTACAAATTTCCTTTAATATTATTTGATTTAAATAATTAGAACTTGCTTTTATTAAATTAAATTATTTTTGTTAATTATTAATTATTTATATTTTTGTAATAACTTTTTTTATTTAATTCTTATATATTATATATTTTTTACTAAAATTTGATTTCAATTTAATTTAAAATTCATGTCAATTTAGATAAGAATAATATATTTTTCAGATAATATTAATTAAATGATAATTTATTTATTATAATTCAAAAGAATATATAAATAATCAAATTTTATTTTATTTTTAAAATTTTTAAAGTAAATTTATTTATTTTAATAATATAATTTTCAGATTGAATATTTTTTTTATTAGTAAATATATATTTTAAAATATTTTTTAATAAAATTCTTTTTATTTAAAAGTATATATTGTTATAATAGTAAAAATAATTTTATAAATTTAAGAAAATTTATAACTTTTAAAAATGACAGAAAATAAAAAATTTTTAAAAATATTAAAAATATAAAAGTAATAAAAATAACTTATTATATATTATTTATTTATTATTTTATCTTTATTATTATTTTATTTATTATTTTATCTATTATTTTATTTTTATTTTATTTTATTTTATTTTTTAATTAATTATTTTATTTTTAAATGGTTATTATAATTAAAATTATATTTTCAAAAAATGTATAAATAAAAATGTTATTTGATCTTTAATTTGACATATTACAAATAAAAAATAAAATCTCTTTTAACAAAAATTTTCTTAATAAAAATCTTTTTTCTAATAATATTTATCACTCTTACTTTTAATTATATATATTAATGCTTGTATATAAATGACTTTAAATTATATTATACTAAACAAAATATATTATTAACTTTGAATTTTAAATTATATTATATTAAATAAATTACTATTAGATTTATATTATATTATATTGAGCAAATTACTATTATTAGATTTATTAATTTTGATTTTGTTATTTTTAAATTTGATATTTTAATATTTCTCATTTATAAGAAGAACAAATTAAAAGAGTTTTTGTTATTATATTACTAATTATATTATCTTAGTATTGAAAAGCTTGATATAAGTACAGAGAATTAACATTTAAAACTTTCTTTATTATTTATTCTCTTATTATTTTATATTTTTTTCTTTTCTTTTTGATCTTTAATCTCTTATAACTTTTTTATATTATTATTATATCTTTGAATTATTATAATTTTAATAAAATTGGTATAGAACTAAGATATTTTTTTCTTTTAATATTTTATTTATTATTTAATTTTTTCAAATTTATAAGCTAATTTAATGATTAATAAATAAACTTATAATAATATTTTGAAATATTTTTATCTAATAAAATACAAGATATTTTGAATAAAAAATAATTAGTATTATTATTTAGAATTATAAAAAGTATTTTTATAAATATAATAATAAAAAATAAATATTTTTATATTTATCTTATAAATCTGAACTTTTTGTTCAAATTAGTTAAATTATATATAAAATACTAAAAAATTATTAGTTTGTAAAGTAAAAATAAATACAATTATTTTTATAAGTAAAATTTATTTAATTTAATAAAATATTTAGATTTTATAATTTTTTTAATATTTTATTTTTTAGTAAGTTATTATATATTTATTTAAAATTTTTTTAATTTTAAATTATTATTAAACTTATAAAAACTTATTAATTAATTTTTTTATATAAAAGTGAATAGAAAAATTATATATATATTATAATAGTAATATTCACTTTTTTAATTTCTAAAAAAGTAATAAATTTTAAAAATAATTAAATAATAGAAATCTTAAAATAATTGAAATAAAAAAATTGATAAAAATAACTCAATAAGTATTATTTATAATTTAATTTATAATTTAATTTATAATTTTATTTATAACTGTTTTATAATAAATAATATTATAACTTTATTTATAACTTTATTTAAATTTTATTTATAACTTTTTTATAACTTTATTAAATTTTATTTATAACTTTTTTATAATTAATAATATTATTGGCTAATTTTTTTATTATTATAACTTTTTTTATAGCTTATAAATTTATTTATAATTTTATTTATAATTTATAACTTTTATTTGCAATATTTTTATAATTTATAATATTATTTATAATTTTTACAATTTTATATTCTTAATTAATATAACTATTAAAATTTATATCATATTTTTTCAAATTAATTTATATTTAAATGAAATTATTTTTAAAAAAAGTTACTTTTTATTTTCAGACTAAAAATTTATATAATAAAAAGTTCTAAAAATAGATTATCTTTTATTTTTAAATTAAAAATTTGTATAATAACAAGTTCTAAAAATAGATTAATTATTTTTTTAATTAAAAATTATATAACAAGTTGTTACTTTCTTCTAATTTTTATTATTCTTTGAATATTATTATTATTATTTGATTATATTATTATTATTTATATTATTATCATTATTTATTTAAAAACAAGTATTAAAAATTATAGTTATTATTTTTTTATTTGTATAAATTTTCTTATTTTTCAAATCACATATAAAATTATTAAAAACTCAAAATTACTGAAAATAAATTGCTCTCTCTAATTATAATCAAAATTATAAAAATCAAAATTTCTAAAAAAAAGTCATTTTTTTTTTGACTTTCAAAAATCATGCAAAAAATAACTTATTTTTGATAATATATGACATTTACAAAAAATATACAATATAAAAAATTTGAAATACTAGTAGAACTATAATAAACTTCAAATTTAATAATGAAAATAAAGAAAATAAATTCAGTTTAAAAAAATACAAATATTTTCACATGCAATAGATCAGATTGAATAAATTTGATACTATTAGAAAGATTTAGTCAAGATGCATTTAATGATATCCAAATCATTGAATTTGATTTATTAAATATGAAAATATCATGTCTCAAAAATATTGTACAAAATTCTTTATCATTTTGTGAAGAAAATAGAAATTTAAAATATTTTTATATTCAGTAAATCAAATTAAATAAATTTGAGAACTTAGAAAGATTTAGTCAAGTATATCTAATAATATCAAAAGTATTGAATTTGGCTAACTAAATGTAAAAATATCATGTTTCAAATGTAACATACAAAATTATACAAAATTTTTTCACAATTTTATATGGTATTTTTAAGACATGTTATCTCTGCATCTAGTAAATTAAATTTAATGCTTTTAATATTGTTAGATACATCTTGACTAGACCTTTCTAATGTTACAAATTCATTTAATTAAGTTCATTGCATGTTGAGATATTTGCATTTCTTTAAACTGAATTTATTTTCTTTATCTTTTGTCACCAGGTTTGAAGTTTATTGCAATTCTGCTAGTATTTCAAATTTCTGATAAAATAAAAATGCTATTTGAACTCTAATTTGACATGTTAAAACTTGAAAAATAATAATATAATAAAACAAAAATCTTTTACCAAATAATATTTATTATTTCTATTTTTGATCAGAATTACAGTAAAGAGATCTATTATCGGGGAGAGGATTTACGATACCTTTGAAAAAAATGAACAATTGTCATATGAAACAACAAATAATTATATTGAAAACTTTAATTTTTAAGCTTTATAAAGAAAAAATCTTTACAACTTTCTTAAAATAGAATAAATATAATTCTAATAAATAAAGTTTGAAAAATAGTATTGCAATATAGAAATAAACTAATACTATTTATTAATTTACCATCTAGAAATTTTTGACTATGTTAAATTATATAAAATATTATATAGCATAGCATAGCTCTAAATTCTTATCAGGAGACAAAAAATGATTTTCCTCTATTTTGCTTTATAATCATATCAATATAATCCAAATTCCGACATTAATATCTCAAAAATAAATAATTAATATAACGATAATTGAATCTTCTTTTTAATATATAAATTTCAAATCAAAAATTTTCATTTAAATTTATAAAATTTCAAAATGAATTTTAATATAAATGTGGTTAGATAAATTAAAATGTTCTACTCGCAAACTTTCTTTCTCTAACATGGTTGAACAGAGATTAGTTAAAAGATAAGACAAATACATATTATGTCAATAATTTAAAATTTAACGGGTATTTTAATTGCAGGCATTCTTTGAAACAAAGTATCTGAAAAGACAGAAAACAGAAATTAAGGTGATTAACCGAATCGGTATTTTTTAGATTGATGCTTTTATGTTATATAATTGGTGCTAAGCTAACTTATCAGACATGTAAAAGGTTATCTTGATCCGTATGCATAAAAGCAACTGGAATAGGACGATACTTGACTACCATATATTCATGATGTAAAAGCCACTCCGTTTAGTAATTTATCAAAGAAAATAAAATAAAAATAGATATTAATGTCTTACTATAAAAATCGAGGTTCTTGCCAAAATTTAGTCGACACCGAATAGAATTTAGAGTTAGCAATAAAAGTGGTACGAGACAACTTATTCCTGAAAAAAATTCTTTTAAAGAGATGGCGGCAACAAAAGACGGAAAGTGTAAATTCTTTCTAAATACCTGCAAAAAAATTAATTTGGAACCACGGTTCATGAAGAAACCTGTTTTCAAAAGAACACTCAAAAACCGGGGTACCTTCTTTGACATCAATATATAACGGAATACACCAAGTCCAAACAGCTTGAACTGTAAACAAGCATTGACCTAAACTCGCTAAAGATGCAATAATTAAAAGAAATGAAGATTCATCGCGAACCTATCAAGAGATAAATTAATACATTAAATATATGTTAATATTATCTCGCTTTTTTCACTCACCCCTTTTGCAGCAAACGGAATCAATACTAATAACAAAACATTAAATGGCCGCCACGTTTTCTCGTTGTGAAGTCCCGTCGCAGAATAAATTTCTTGAAAAACACCAGCATGCATCCAGTATAAAGTTGTCCAAAGTAATGCCGTGACTAAACTAGCATGTATTAACCATAATTGCCTCTGATAATTTTTGTGTAATACTGTGGAAGTAAGAGAAATAATTTAATAAAATGATAAGAAAGATATATACATGTATACCATTATAAATATGGTTTAACCTTGAATATCTTTTCTTTTGCAATATTCCAAACGTAAACTTGTTGGCCATTTTCTATATCGAAAATCCTGTTAGTGAATATAACATATCTCGATTAAGTAAAGTGTACTTTATACCTTCTTTTCCACAAAAGAAACGTAAAAACAATGTAAGCTATCTCTGTAATTCCATCCAGGGAAAACACCAAAATATACTTCTGTAATGGTGGTATACCAGAACAGAGATACGAACCAGGACAATTGCGGAGTTTCCATGCTAATCCAAAAATAAGTGAAATCGACGGTATCAGATTGATGAAGCAAAATATCCAAGCATGATCAATAGTTTTTATGAAAGCCTTTATCGTTATATTTTTTTTAAAAAAAAATTGATTAATCCTTGTAGATAAATGGTTAACAAAACATGATCTACTACCATTATTATTCCGGATAAGAATACTGAGCTTTGATATAACATTGCACCAAGAATCATGGCATTTGATAGATAAGTTGTACATATTTCTACAGTGGCGAATATGAAATTGATTAAGAATGTCCAGATGAAAAGTTTCTCGATTAGACATAATTCTTTACTTTTAAAAAAAATATTGTAAAATTGATTTAACAAATTCATTAGATAGTGATAGTGTTTCAATTCTACAAATTGTTATACAAACTGTATGCATTTTGCATAATGTTTACTAGTTTTTGAATTGTAGATCTTATCGTTATAATAATCAATCTGACCAATCAGAACTCTTTATTCTTATAATATTAGTAAACGCCAAAATTGTGATTTCACACCAAATTTATATCTCAAGAAAAAAATGAACTAAACGAAAAGCTATCAATTTGTTAAATTATTTATCTTTCCTTTTTAAGTCATAACACTTGATATGATGTGGATGTCCCACTGTTCTGTATTAACGTTAATAAATACATGTACGTGTACATGAATGTACGTTGATCAACTTCGGTATATAGAGCTTAATTTTTCTCAACGTTAATGACAAGAGAAATAAGAAAGTTATTGCTAAAAGCGAATATCGTTATAAAGGGATAGCCCAATTGATCTACAAAGGGTCTTCAAATTAAGATTTCAGAGAGTTTCGAACTTGTAGGGCGAAACTGAAGGTTTACTGGGCGAAACGTTTCGGATTTTGAAAAATAGTTTCGCCCGAAACAGGTTATGATAAAAATATCTAGCTTTGACTGTATGTAACAAATGAAAGGTTACAGTCTCTAAAAGACATAAAGCTATGATAACGATAAATATGAAAATTGCTAATAATAATATCTGATGTTTCTTGGAAGATTTGATAAATTCATGAGCACACGTTTTTAATACTTTAATGTCTACTTATTAAGATATTAATATTTAAGTTGTAAGAATCTGTGATTAATACCCCGAAATTTAGTTCCCTTACAGAAAACGTGATGAGATAATTTTTCTTGCGACTCGGGTTTATATTTGCTGAAATTCATTCGTATCGAAAATTTCACAAATAACTGTATGACAATAATGAACTATAAAAGGCTCTTTTTTTAACATGTTAATTTGGAACACTTAATTTGAAGCATAATATCTCATGATCCACCAGGCCAAATTCCACATAATTCAGCCATTATTCCACTAAATCTCAGTTAATATGTGGCTTTATTTTATCCAATTTTGTTCAGTGAGTCATGAGATATTAATCCATTTTTAGAAAATGAAAAAAATTGCCCAGTAACTTTGGAGCATGATATCTCATAATCCACGGTCAAATAATATCGCCATTCGATTCGTCTAGTTGACAAAATCGAATGGTCCCAAAGTTACCGGATATTAATATCTCAAACATGAAACAATGTAAAAATGTGATGCAATTTATCTAGATGATTGGGGAACACGTTATTGAAGAGAATAAAAGACAAAATTTCACTTTGGCAATTTCAAATGTCTGCATTGCATTTACTATGTAGGGAACACGTTATTAAAGAGAATAAAAGGCCAAAGTTTCACTTTGGAATGTCAAATGTCAACATTGTACTTACTATATAAGTTTTACTCGAAATATGTTTTTATTAACTAGTATATCCAGGTATTATCTTAGTGAACATTGTAATAATATAGTTTACACACAACAATATGTCATATAAAAGGTGGATTCTGTTAGTGATTCATACGGGATTCAGATGTGATAAATATTTCATTAAATTCTCGTCGAGGTATGTTGGAGTCTACGATGAATAGAAGTTTTTCCTAGTTGTTTGCTTACTTTCCCTTGAGATTAACTTCCTAGCAACCGCCTAATGGTTTTAATTCTGGTAACCACTAAAGGAGCTGATAGCAAACTATCATTTAGATCCACACGTTTGTTATTAGCATCACTGATATTAATTCTTTACATGAAAATATAGATTCAATCATTCAGAAAGAGATTTAATTTCAAGAATTGATCCTGCGTGAGAGTAATTTTTTGCGTGTAGAGTTTGGGATTGAAATAAAGGATGTAATTTTTTTGGCGTCATTGTACAAATTTATTTTAGAACAGTTGAAAATAACAAATGCTTAGAATATTTTTCAAAAAGCCTTTAGCAAAATCGAACCTAAATAATGTACTAAGCATATGGTAACTTTGGATAGGCAGGAGTATTAATAATACAAGTGCATAAGTGCAACGTATAGTGGCATCACGAAAAGTTTTATGCAAAAAAAGCCTAGCACCTCAGCATCAATTCAAAGCCCATAGTTTCTATATACTCGTTTTAAAGCTAATAACATAGAGAATTTTTAAAAATCCCATTTTTGGAAAATTGAGAAATCTACACGATTTTTTTACATGTAATTAGTGAAATTTTCAAGGTAAATCCGACTAATAAAAAATGTTCATTAACTACATGCAAGTTTTCAGCCGTTGGCTATTGTGACACAAGCCTCCAAATGTCAACGTTACACGTAAAAAATTTATGTTCTGCATACGTGCCTAGCCAACGCACCGAAAATTTTCAGGTAGTTTCCATAGAGAATTTATTAGTCGAACCTGCCTTGAAAAGAAAAATATTAAAAAATCCCAAAATGGGATTATTAATAAATATTTTAAGTTATTAGCATGAACTTTGATTGAGGCTGAGGGTGCTAGAATTTTTTTGCATAAACTTTTCGCAATGCAAAACTTTGGCATTAATTCATAGCGATAAAAAAGAAGAGGCATTTATCATAATGTTGACTTCCCTTTGTGTGTGTGTGTTTTAAAAGAAGAGTAAAATACTACCAATTGTCACGTTAAATACATTAATGAAGTAAAATAATAACTTTATATGAATAAATAAATAAAATATAACAATATGCGTAAACTCAAAACACAGTTAATATCGATTCTATGATTACCGTCAGGATTTTTGATAATAAAAATTTTAAAGTATAAATAACATTTCTTTTTTTTGACAATGTTCTATTTTGTTTCAACTTGAATCTGTAGTTTATCTTGCAAATCATTCGATATTTCTTCATTAACGTTAACTTTAATTTCATGTGATATACTAAAATCGAAATCTGTTTTGCACCACCAAAAAAAATAGTACCGAATTAATTGAGTCAATATTACTATAATTTTACCTTCGTTTGGAACAAACAAACTGACACTTGCCAACCCTAAAATTTGATATGAATTTAATTAATATTAAAAGTTAATGACGATATGAATTATATTTAGAATAAAAAGTACCCGTGTCAGTTAGAATTAGAATTAAGTTTGTGGTAAACATTCGACTTGTAACTGCGTTGGAGTGAACTTCTTGTTTTTGGTACCTATAGGAATGCCTTTCATCTTCTCATCAAATTCTTTCCATTTCTGCTTTTCTAGTTTACTCTATGAAATCTGCCTATTTACCAATTTTCATAAAAATCGGCTTAATTTTTATAGATGTTTAAGATCCTAAAGACTGAATCGATGCTAGGAGTATTAATACATGAATTAATGCTCCTAACATAGATTCGGTCCTTCGGGGTCTCAAATCTCGGTGAAATTTGGGCCGATTTTTATGAAAATTGGTAAATAGGTAGAATTTATAGAGTAGACCATTTTTAATTAGTGGAAAATAAGTTCTTCAACGTGAGAAATTTACTAATTGTGAATTTTGATTTAAATCACTTTATTTCACAAAATAATCTGTTGCTAAATTATTTTTAAAAAATATTAGTGATTTCAAGGTTTCAAATGAACACTTTTTTATTTTGTTCAAACTAATAATCATGGAAATAAAAATCCTAGTAACTTAATTTTCGTGTTCCGTTACATGTGTGAGCCACTGTATAATCGAACTCTCGTTTTAGCGTTCGGTTGCAATAGGTTCGTCTAGGTGATATATTTTTTCTAAAAAAATTATTAATATGTATTTAATAAAACAAATTATTCAGAAATTTTAGTATTATTACTCTTATTAATTTTATTTAATTATTATTGATTTTGATTTTGAATATAGAAAATTATTAGAGCTATAAATTATATTAGTATAATTCAAATATTTTATAATCTCATTGAATTACTTTAATAGAAATACTAGTCAAATATAATAATTAATAGTTTAATTATTAAATATTATATTATTTGCCAGTTAAAAAATTAACAAAAAATAAATTACATTAATAATTAAACAAGTCGAGGAAACTAATTAAAGCTACAATAATTACTAAAAATAAACACAATAATTATTTGAAAAAGAAAGCAATATTAACAAGAAACAGCAAACTTGGATTATATTAAACAACAGTACTAAAAAAAGAAATAACTAATTATAAAGAAAAAGTTAAAAACTTAAATATCATTCAAGAACCTAAAAAAAATTAATTTCTTTTCACCAAAATAACAAAAAAAGTTAACTAATAAAGATTAAATAATATATCTAAAAGACAAATATAAAGTTCAATATCTGAACTTGAAGATATAATAAATATAAGAAATATATTAAATATATTATAAATAACTTACCAATATTAGAATACATGAATTATGAAAAAGATAATAATCTAATTAAGAAATTTCAAGAAGAGAACCAAGATCTGGTAGCATGATTCAAAGTAATTGTTATAATTAATAAAATTATCACCAAAAATATAGATTATATAAAGATACTTAAAAGAACCAGTTATTATTTGATTTAATAAATATATTACAAATAATAAATAAATAAGCAATATTTATGATATTTTTAAACTTTATTTTAAAATTTTATATTAATTAAAAGTTATATAAGTAACAAAATGAACTAAAAAATGGAAGGAACAGTTGCAG